AGCCCGCCAGGGCGGCGCCCCGGCGCCCTTCGCGCGCTGCCTGGCCGCCTGCTACACGACCACCGGCAGCGTGCTGGCCCTGCGCGAGGCCCCGCAGCCGCCCCCAGGGTGCGACGGGGGGCCTTGGCTGCAGCTGGAGCTCGGCATCGCTGAACCTTTTCCCATCCCCACGGGAGCATGGCTTCTCGGCCCCACCAGCCGACCGTCCTAGAGGGGATATGCCCCGCGAAGCCCAAGATAATGTATATACACGCACACACACATACATATACATATACATATACATATACATATACATATACATATACATATACATATACATATTCGTATACATATGCATATACATATACATATACATATACATACATACATACATACATATTTACATCATGCATGCATGCATGCATGCATACATGCATACATACATACATACATGCATACATACATATATCGATGTGCACACATACGTCTGCACACACACTTCCATATATACAAACATGCATGCACCCATACACACATACACACATCTAGACATGAATACTTACATACATACATACATACATATATACATATATGTGCACACATACGTCTGCATACACACTTCCATATTTACAAACGTACATGCACACATACACACATACACACATCTATACATGTATACATACATACATGCATGCATGCATGCATGCATACATGCATACATACATACATACATGCATACATACATACATACACACATACACACATACACACATACATACATACACACATACGTACGTACGTACGTACGTACGTACATACACACATACATACATGCACACATACACATATGCATACATAGACACATCCACACACACATACATATATGCATACATGCAACCAGACATACATACACACATGCATACACGCATACATACATACATACATACATACATACATACATACATGTATACATACATACATGCATAAATACACACAAACAAGCATACATAATATACACACATGCATGCACACATACATGTATATATACATACGTTCATACGTTCCTACATACATACATACATACACCAATCTGTATACATATACCTAGACATATTCATACACGTACATACACACATACATTTACATGTACATATACCTGCGCCTGTTGTGTTGGCTCCATTTGTGCCGTCTCCTCTTTCCCTCTGGTCCTCCCTATCCTTCCCTCCCTCCTCTTTGCTTCCCTTCTCCCTTGGCGTGGTCCACGGCGTGGTGTCCATTGCTTACCACGCAGTCAGCAGTTTCTTAGCGAAGTGCTGCGAATCGCGAGGCCGAGAGTTACTCATGAGTTAGGGTTGTTCCATCGCCCGCACAACAACATGTACATGTACATATACATACATGTACAAGTACATCTACGTACACGTGTATATATATGTATATATATGTATATACAGATATCGATATATATATATCTATATATGCAAGAGTACCTTGGAGCTTCGCGCCATGCACCTTGGCCCTTCAGGATCGGCGCGCAGGTGTCCGTCTGGGCGCGCGCGAGAGAGAGAGAGAGAGCGAGAGAGACATAGCGCACCCAGAAGGACAATGATTGCCTTTTGCCGTTAGCCCCATCTTTGCTACAATTCTGCTTTAAATCGCCAGTCTCTCATGCTTTCTCTTCGTTGTTCTCTGTCGTTTGCGGACGCGTCCCTGTTACCGTTTTCAGATGTGATTGCGTGGCCTCTTCCGTGGAGGGCTTTCCGGGAATCTCGCGGGAGCTTTTTGTGGCTTCCAGTGGTTTTTGAGTGCTTGTTGAGTTCTACTGGCAGTTGTTCCCTGCCTAGACTCTGTCTAGAAGGGTTCTTACTCGTTTCGCTTAAAGGGGCCGGGCAGTGGAACACGCCCCGGGCGGTTCCCCCGGTCCCCTGGGAGCCAAGCAAAAGCAACAGCAAAGGTAAAAGCAAACGCGCGGTTCCCCCAGTTGCGCTCCCTGGGTGCCAAGCAAAAGCGAAAGCAAAGGCAAAAGTGAAGGCAAAAGCGAAGGCAAAGCAAAAACATAGCATAGCATAGCATATCATAGCATAGCATAGCATAGCGCAGCATAGCATAGCGCAGCATAGCCTAGCCTAGCCTAGCCTAGCCTAGCCTAGCCTAGCCTAGCCTAGCCCTGCATAGAATTGCGCAGCTTAGCATAGCATAGCATAACATAGCATAGCATAGCATAGCGCAGCACAGCATCCACTATTGCTGCTATATATATGTACTTATATGTGTGTGTGCGCACGCATGCTCCATGCATGTTGTCCGTCTGTGGGCCATTACCGTTCCTACTAATGTTGCTTTCCTAGAGGCTCCAACTCCTAGATAGGGTCGCGCTGGGATACTTTTTTATATTTCAGCGCTTCCCTGGGCGCAGTCCTGAACCCCAGTGTTCAATGTATGTTATGCAAGGCGCGAAGCGTTTAACTATCCGCAGGCAATCACATAGGCATGGCAAGTTGCAAGTGAAGAGCGAAATCTCATCTGCCGGTTGAAGATTCAGATAGCGCCACTTGTAGGACAACCGCGTCAAACATCAGTGCTTGATTCGGATGCAAAGCCATCCGTGTGATAGGCAATTCAGACACAGCCACATGTGAATCATCAGATGTAGGGGTAGGTCCGAATCCGCCGACCCCTTGGTGTCCCAGCTGCAGAGGGAAGCACGAGCGGAGTGGAAGGCGAGTCCCTGTTCATTGGGCGCTTCTGGGTGTTCTTGCAGGCCCTTCTGGACCGTCGTGGGGCTCTTTGGGATCGTTTGGGGGCCCTTGTAGGCTGTCTCAGTGGGCTCTGGCCGTCGTGGGGCTCTGCTGGGGGCTTCTTGGGGTTGGCTTGGGGTTTTCTTGGGTGCCTCTTGGGGCCGTCTTGAGCCGTCTCGGGGCTCTGTTGGGCCGTCTTGGTGCTATCTTGGACCGTCGTGGGGCTCTCTGGGGCTGTCTTGGGGCCCTCTTGGGGCTTTGTGGGGGCCTCTGGATCCGTTTCGGGGCGATTTGGGGGGCCTGTTGAACCGTTCTGGAGCTTTGGAAAACACAAAAGCGAGGGTGGCCAATACTGCACGTTTTATTCGAGGGGTGGAACGATTTCGGTTTGTTTGGCGTTATCTTGGGGCTCGTCGGGGCGTCTTGGAAGCGTTCCTTGGACCGTCTTGGAGCTACTCAGGAGCCTTTTTGGGCGTTTGGGGAATCTCTTGAACTGTCGTCGAGCCATCTGGCGCCTTCTTGGAGCGCTCGTGGGCCGTCCTGGGACCGTATTGAATTGCTTTGGGGCCGCATTCGGCGCCCAGGGTGGTCGGAATTCGTTCGGTGGAGGGGGGTCCCCGGCCCAGTTAAAATAGACTTGGTATTGTCACGAAACGCGACTTTGGAGGAGAAGTGGGCGTCACCTGCGCGGAGGTGAGTTCAGCACGCTACCATGCGAGCCACCTGCAGGTGTGGTCCGCCAGCGGGGGTAAGGGAGGACAGAGCTCATCGATAACCGGCCAAGGTGGTCACGTGACCAAGCGACCCACGAGGTGAGCTCAGCATGCTGCCATGCGAACCGCCGTAGGACAGCTGTCGGAGCTCTCCGGGGGTGAGCCTCTGCAGCCATTCTTGGGGGCCCGTTGGGACGCCCTCAATGGGGCAGTCTTGGGGCCCTTTTGGGGCGTTTCGGGGCTCTCTCGGCCCGTCTTTGGGTGCTCGGGCCGTCTTGGGTCCTTGGTGGAGCCACCCACGGCGCTCTCGGGGCTCTCTTGGGAGGCCTTTCGGGCCCGCCGGTGCCCCTCTTGGGCCGGGTCTCCGTGAGGCCATCGTGGGGCTTTCTTGGGACCGCTTGGGAGCGTCCAGGGCCGCCTTGGGGCGATCTCGGAGGCCTCTGCGGCTGTTTTGGGCGCTGGTGAAGCGAAAGACCGGGTATCCAAGAATTGTACGTTTTCTTCTGGGAATGGGACGAGGTTTGCTTCTTTGGAGTGCTCTTGGCGGCCTCTCGCGGCGTCTATGCTCTTGGGTCGCCGTGGGCCCTCTTGGGAACGCTTTTGGGTCGCCTCGACGCTGGCCGAGGCTGGACCTGCCCGTCTTCCGGCCATCTTCGGCCGTCTTCGGCCAGACTTCCGCCGACTTCCGCCGGCGATCCGCGCGTTGCCGGGGCCATATTTCGGGGGGTACCCCCCCAGAACCCCCCCAGGGGGATTCCCCTACTAAACGGAAATCCCTCCTCAAGGTCGTGGAATACATCGGAATAGACTTACGTTTACATTCTACATAAATGCCTGCCGACCTACATGCGTACATACACACATCCCTTCACACATCAATCCATACATCCATACATACAATATATATATATATATATATATATATATGCATACATGCATGCATGTCTGTCTGTCTGTCTGTCTGTCTGTCTGTCTGTCTGTCTGTCTGTCTGTCTGTCTGTCTGTCTGTCTGTCTGTCTGTCTGTCTGTCTGTCTGTCTGTCGTTCTGTCGTTCTGCCTGTCTGTCTGTCTGTCTGTATGTATGTATGCAGGTAGCTAGGTAGGTAGGTAGGTAGGTAGGTAGGTAGGTAGGTAGGTAGCTAGGTAGGTAGGTAGGTAGGTAGGTATGTGTGTCCCCGTGTATACGTCCCACCGTGATGGGTAAGCCAGCCAGTGGGGCCAAGGCCACTGCTGTGGGGGTAGTGATCGGTTAAGCGATGCTCAGGAGCTGCATCCGCCGAACCCCTACACCCCAGCGGAGGTCCTCGAGGGCCAGCCTCTCTGGCTGGCGGGGCCCGAGGATTCGCCTTCCGCTGGCCAGCTGGGCGGTGGACTGGCGTCGTGTCAGCTGTCCGCTCCAGTGCCGGCGCTGCTGCCACCGGAGCTCGGCGAGGTGAGGGGTTTGTGGGCGTCGCCAGTGGACGAGGGCCTGGTGGTCGTCACCAACCAGTCGGCAACGCGTAAGAGTGACCTTTCGACAGAGTGACCAGGTGCAGGCCCACATGGGGCCCCACCAGCACTGGCTGGCGCGCTTGGACTGCTTGGATTTTGCTTCCCCCCGCGGCCCCCAATGAAGCTGCGCACCAGAGGGCACGATTGCCTGTAGGGTCACTCCTGCTTGCGGCCGGACCAGCTGCTGGAGCTGCACCTGATCCGCCTCGGGGTGCACTGTAAGGGCGGCTCCCGGGCCCTCGGCATCGAGGAGCGGCACTTGCTGGCGCGCTCTTCCTTCGGTCTTCGAACAAGAAGTACACGCCACAAGAGAGTAACTTTCAAAGGTTCGCCTCGGTTGCGCCTTTGGGGGCCTCCTGGGAGGCCCTCGTCGCCAAGGCTGGATTCGCCTCGATATTCCGGTCAGAATGCATCCTGGGCCAGGTCTGGGCGAATCCGGCCGTGGCGACGAGGGTCCCCCAGGAGGCCCAAAAAGGCGAACTCGAGGCGCTGATCCAAGAAATCCGCGCGGATCTCCGAAAGCTCCCAGACAGCCGCCGATGTTTTTGTTCTCAATCCGCGGCCCCAGAGGTCCCGACCCCTTCCCCGGGGTTGGTTTTTCGTCCCGGATCCATTTTTGATGGTCCCTGGGCCCGATGACGGACCCTGGAGGCCCCAGGACTGCCCCACGACTCCAGGACTGCTGGAAGTGCCTCGACAAAGCCTCACAGCGGCAAACGGACAGCCCCGAGACTTCCTAGCTCGTATGGTAATTTCCTGAGCTCACCTTGGGAGGTTACCAGCAAGCCCCCAGAAGCGCCCAACAGGGCCTCAGGACAGGCCCAAGAGGGCCCCATGACGGCTGGAGGCGCCTCGACACAGCGGCACAGCGTCAAACGGACAACACGGGAACCAGCAGAATGCGTCCTATAGGCATCCTCTTCTTCGTTGTTCTCTGTCTCGCAACTCACGCCCACTTGTCCTCCAAGGTCGGGGATCGTGACAATATCAGGTTCGGTCCGGCTGTTTGTCCTGCCCTCTTGGTCGCTTCTGGGGGCTTCCTGGAGGCGTGGTGAGGTCTTGAGGCTTGTTGGGGTCGTCTTGGGGGCCTCTTGGGGCCTCCTCAGGTCCTTCAGCCGTCCTGGGGCCCTCCTGAGGGAGTCCCGGGGCTGTCCGTTTGTCGCTCTGACGTTTTGTCGAGGCGCCTCCAGCAGTCCTGGGGTTTGGGGGCAGTCCTAGGGCCCTCTTGGGAGCCTCTGGCGGCTTTCTGGAGACGTCTTGAGGCCTTGAGGCCTCTTGGGGTCTTCTTGGGGGTCTCTTGGGGTCTCATCAGGTTCCCGTGTTGTCCGTTTGAAGCTGTGAGGCTTTGTCGAGGAACCGCCAGCCGTCCTGGGGTTATCTTGGGGCAGTGCTGCGCCCATCTTGGGCGCTTCTGGAGGCTTGATGGAGGCCTCTGGAAGGTTCTTGGGCGCCTCTTAGGGCCTCTGCAGGGATTATTGGGGCATCTTGGGAACTTCTTCGGAGCTTCTGGGGGCCTCTGGAGGGGTTATTGTTGCGCAGAAACCGAAACCTCGTATTTCGTCGGAGGTTGTGTCGGGAACGTTTCTGAAGAAAAGGTGGCCAAGAAAACGACGATGCGTCTTGGAAGTGCGCGACTAGGCGAGTTACGAGGTGAGCTCAGCACGTGTCCATGCGAGCCACACGGAAGGGAGGGGGGGAGCTCAGCTCGCGACCATGCGAGTCATGAGGTGAGCTCAGCACGTTTCCATGCGAGCCACAGGGAAGGGAGGGGGCGCGGTTTCATATGACGGGCGAGAAGATCGAGTTTGGAGGATTTGGGGGCTCCTGGGGGCCGTCGGGTTTGGTTGGAGGTTGTGTCGGGGACGTGCCTGACTATATGAGGACTAGGTTGGACAACTTGCGGCGGTCGGGGGCCGCATGCGGCCGTATTGAAGCCTCCTGGAGGCTTCTTGTAGGGCTTTCTGGCAATACGAAAAGTCGCTTTGGGTTTCTCTGCGACAGCTGTCCAGAGGGAAAGGCGGCCAGATAAACAACGGTGCGTCTTGGAGGTGAGCTCAGAACGCGACCATGCGAGCCACGGGGTGAAGTCAGCTCGTTTCCATGCGAGCCCATAAGAGGAAGGCCAGGGTGCGCATTACAGTGGTTCCCGTGTGGTCCGACTGACGCTGTGCTGCTTAACGCGCATTACATTGGTTCCCGTGTTGTCCGTTTGACGCCGTGACGCTTTGTCGAGGCGTCTCCAGCCGTCGTGGGGCCCTCTTGGGGTTTTCCTGATGCCCTGTTGGGCGCTTCTGGGGACGTGCTGAAGACCTCGTAAGGCGTACGGTGAGCTCAGGAAATTCTCATACGAGCTAGGAAGTCTCGGGGCTGTCCGTTTGCCGTTGTGACGCTTGGGGGCCTCTTGGGGCCTCCTCAGGTCCTTCAGCCGTCCTGGGGCCCTCCTGAGGGAGTCCCGCGGCTGTCCGTTTGTCGCTCTGACGCTTTGTCGAGGCGCCTCCAGCAGTCCAGGGGTCTTGGGGCAGTCCTGGTGCTCTCTTGGGGGCTTGTCGGGGCTTTCTGGAGGCGTCTTGAGGCCTTGAGGCCTCTTGGGGTCTTCTTGGGGGTCTCTTGGGGTCTCATCAGGTTCCCGTGTTGTCAGTTTGACGCTGTGAGGCTTTGTCGAGGCACCTCCAGCCGTCCTGGGGCTTTCTTCGGGCAGTGCTCGGCCCATCTTGGGCGCTTCTGGAGGCTTGCTGGAAGCCTCTGGAGGGTTCTTGGGGGTATCTTGGGGCCTCTGCAGGGGTTATTGAGGCCTCTTGGAGGCTTCTTGGGAACCTCTGGGGGCCTCAGGAGGGGTCCTTGGGGCGGAGAACCTGAAAAGTCGGCCCTTGCCTCCGCTCCAGGGGCTCTCTTGGGCTCTCTTGGGGCGTGCCTGTGGCGCTCGTGAGGCCGTCTTGGAGGCCTCTTGGGCCGTCTTGAGGACGTCTTGGGCCGTCTGAGCGCTCTCTTGGGGGTCTCTGAGGCTGTCTTGGGGCGTTCTTTGGGGCCTCTTGGGCCGTCTTGGCGGCGGGAAGCCGAACAGGAGAAAGCTCTCCAAAACTTAAGGACAACCGATGATTTGTAATGTTTCGGGCTCTCCTGGAAAGCGTCTTGGGGGCCTCTCAGGGCGTCTTTTGAATTCCCTGGGGCATGGGGACGCCATATTGGGCGTCTCTGGGGGCTTCTGGAGGGGTCACTGGGGCGCAGAACCCGAAATATCAACCCCTGCCTTCGCTCCGGAGGCTCTCTTGGGGCGTGCCTGTGGCGCTCGTGAGGCTGTCTTGGAGGCCTCTTGGGCCGTCTTGAGGACGTCTTGGGCCGTCTGAGCGCTCTCTTGGGGGTCTCTGAGACTGTCTTGGGGCGTTCTTTGGGACCTCTTGGGCCGTCTTGGAGCGGCGGGAAGCCGAAAATGCGAAGACCCCAAAATTATTTTAAAAACCTAAGGAAAACCAATGATTTGTGATGTTTCGGGCTCTCCTGGAAAGCCTCTTGGGGGCCTCTCGGGGCGTCTTTTGGGCTTCTTGGGACGTCGGGACGCCATATTGGGCGTCTTGGGCCGATCTTTCGGCCACTCGAGGCCTTATTGAACCATCTTGTGGACCATCTTGGGGCCGTCCGTGCCTCTCGGAAGCGCGTCTGCGGAAATGGGGCCGTGTCCTGCCGTCTTCCGCCAGCGTTCCGCCCGTGGCCGGGGCCATCTCCTGGGGGGTCCCCCCCCAGACCCCCCAAGGGGAACACGCAACAGGAACCCCTCCGCCAGGTCGGGGAAAAAAACATCTCCTCGGATCTTTGGGCTTGTGCTCACGGCGTTCTCTCTGTTCTGCTTCCAGGTCCCGGTGGCGTCGCCGACGTGGCGTGGTCCCACGCCGGCCGCTGGCTGGCCTTCGCGAGCCAGGCGGCCCCGGGCGCGCAGGCCCCGTCCGCCAGCTCGGGCAGCGCCTCAAGGGGGCCCCGCCGCATCCGGGCCTACCTTTCAAGTCGGACATGTCCCTCTACAGGAGTAGTGTTCAGAATTAGTCCAGGAATAGCCTGGGGACGACCTGACATGTTTCATTTTCTCATAGGTCTTCACAAATCCGCCTGTGGGAGGACATGCCCGACCGAAGCCTATCCCCTGGAAGTCGAGGATCGAGGAATGGAGACACAACAACTGAATCTACTCAGACCCCCTCGAGCCATGAACACAAAAACGAGACGGGTGGTTTTTGCTGCTGCTTTCGGCCTCGGGACCGTGAACAGAAACGACTCAGGACGAGCAACCGATCCCAGGGACTGGGTCGAGATCTTGTGGGGGTCGATGTCTTGAACAAATCATGACGTCGGGGGTCTGGGTATACGCGTACCTTCTCGGAGGTCCGCGCGGCCCTCCAGAGGCAGTGAGACAGTAATGCTCGTGTAGTGTTTGCTGCTCCTCTGGAGGGAGGAAGGAGTGCAGGATCGAGGAAGTTCTGGTTATCTTCCTTTGGGAGCTCTCAGGAGTCCTCGGGGGGTTCTGCGGAGGTCATGGTGGCTCTTGTTTGGAGGGAGGAGCGACCCCCCGCACTCGACGTCGCGACTTTTCGTCAACGCGGACCCCCTGAGGTCTCGATCCATTCCCCAGGGCTGGTGTTCCATCCTGAGTTGTTTTTTGACGGACGAAGGGCCCGGCGAGGGCCCACAGAGGCAGAAAATAGCAACAACAGGAAAAAGGCTTTCGTGGTGTTTTCGATCACGATGCGACGGGTCTGGCTCAGTGGTGACCCTTGGCGTTGCCCGGCCATCTGGCTCTGCGACGTCAGCAGCAGTCCGCCGGGCAGCCCGGTGCGCGTCACGGACGGCTGCTTCCGGGACTTCTCCCCGAGCTTCGACCCTGCCGGCGGCTTCCTGGCCTTCCTGTCGCGGCGGGCGCTGCAGCCCGTCGACGACGGGATCACCAGCGCCATGCACTTTGGCGCGGGATCGGACCAGCCGCTGATTGTCTCCCTGGTGGACGGAGCGCCCAGCCCCCTGGAGATCAAGGGAGGAAGCATCGCCCCGACCCTAAACCAGCCTGCGTTTAAGCAGCCATGGGGACCTGCTGTGGGTAGTCTTGCCCGCCTGCTCAGCCCTCTCCTCCGACGTCACATTTTTTGTTTGTGACGCGGCCCCCCAGGGATCTCGACGCCTTCCCGAGGCCTTTTCATCCCGATTTGTTGTCGGCAGTCCCAGGGCCAGGATACGGCCTCCACAGAGGCCGAACACGTCCAAAGAGAGCCAGTCGCAAGTTTTGTTGTGTGTCGCCTGGCTCAGAGGAAACAGTGTCACTTGTATGGGGCGTCTGTCATGAGGGAGTAGCTAGGTTTCTCTCTCCCCAAGACATCAGCATCGTCTAACCGATCCCCAACCCCACTCGGCCATGTTATCTCTCAGCCCCACCAGCCCACCTCTCCAAGTGGACACGCGAGACCCGGAGGGAACAGCATGCCCGCAGACCCCCCTACGTCGTGTTTTCACAACGCGGGCCCCCGGACGTCCCGACCCATGCCCGGGACCGGCTTTCCATCCCGAGTCTTTGTCTGACGGTCCTGGGCCTGGCGAGGCTTCCCCAGAGACGGAGAAAAGCAACTAGCTGATCCCGTCGCGTCATGACGCGAGCGGGTCTGGGTGCAGCTCATGGGGGGGGGGGTAGGCCAGCCAGTGGGGCCGAGGTCATGCCAGTGAGGATGAGGCTCGGTCAAGCAATGCTCATCCAATCTCTGGGGACGGGGAGAGGGAGGAGGAGGAGGAGGAGGAGGAGGAGGAGGAGGAGGAGGAGGAGGAGGAGGTGGAGGAGAAGGAGGGCTTGGGCCTGGGCGGCGCGCCAAGAGACAAGGCTCGACGATCGCGCAGGAGCAGGACGGGGGCCAGAGCAAGCCCAGGATGGCCTCCACCATCCCAGTGCGGGCGGGGGTCGGCCCCAAGCCCAAGCCCCCGCAAGGAGAGGCCGCCGCGGGCGCCCGGCGAGGCCGCCGCCGGCGGCGGCGGCCGCGCCGAGGACGGCGGGCCCGAGGGCGCCGGGCGGGGCCTGGAGCTGGCCGAGGCCCGGGGGCTGCTCGGCTGCGCCCGAGAGCGGCGCTCTGCCGGAGTGGCCCGCGGTGCGGGCCCAGGCCAGGTCGGATCTCTCCAGGGAGGCCTCCCACAGCCTCCATAGAGCACCCCTCACGAGGCCCCGGGGTGCCCCATGTGGGCGCCAACAGGGCGCCAACATGGAGCGGAAAGCTGGGGGGCAGCCTGGGCCAGGGATACCTCACCCCCAACCATTGGGGCCCCTCGACTGCGGAATGCGGTGACGTAGCTGGCAGCGGCCTGCGCGCTTCGGCTTGCCCACCCCGTGGAGCCGCGCAGTGAAGGTCACTCTTGCCAAGGGTCACTCTTGCGTGCAGCCGAGCTGCCAAGAGGGTGGTGGTGGCTCCAAACCCCTTCGGGTCGTGAAGACGTCGCGGTGGCGAGCTGTTCCATCTTTTCGGGCTCCGGGGGGCCTAGCAGGGCTCCAGGGCGTAACAAATTGCTGAGGATGAGAAACTGGCCCCGAGGAATGGGCCGAGACTTCCAGGGGTGGGGGGGGATGCCATTGCCGTGGTCATGAGATCTCCCCGGATTGAAAGGCCCATTCTTCTTCTTCTTCTTCTTCTTCTTCTTCTTCTTCTCCTTCGTAAGCTTTTGGAGCTCTGCGCGGATTTCTTGGATCTTCACTGGACCCCCCTCTCTGGCGCGCGAGGCGTGCCAGGGGCGGCGCCGGAGGCGCCCTCAGGAGGCCCCAGCGCAGATCCAAGAAATCCGCGGACGCACCCCTGCCTCGGACGCCCCCGAGAGGCGGCGCTCGCATCGGTGGTCGGCCGTGCGCAGGTCTCCAGAGGAGGAAAGGATAACGATGCCCCTGCCTCCCGAGATTCGAATCTCGAGGTTCGAGGCTTGACGTCGGAGGCCTTCTGGCGTTTTCGTCGCTTCTCGACCGCTTTCCATTCCTTCGGGGGGGGCCTTCCGGCAGCTGCGCCTCGCCGAGGGCGTTCCCGAGGTTTGCCCTTGCCGTCCCGAACGGCCGCCAGTGGCCCGAGCTGTTGCCCGAGAGCTGCCAGAACCTTGAGATCCTGGCGTCGCATCTTTTCGCAACGGGCCACCAGTGTTAAGTCGGGCCTGTCCCTCTACAGGAAGGATATTCAAAAATAGTAGAAAAATTGTCTGGGCGTTTTGCGGTTTTTGGCAGTTGTCGGTCTCCCGGGGGCCTCGGGAGCGTTAAACAACGACTCAGGACGAAAAGCCGGTCCCGGGGAAGTGGTCCAGACCCCCGGGGTCCACGCCCCCATAAAATTTGGAGCAGCCAGATGTCTGGGTTGCCCCTCGTCTCGGGCCACAGGGCCCTCAGGGAACGAGCCGGCTCGAAGAATTTGCCGCACGCAGCTGGGATCCAGGGCTTTGGTCGAGATTTTGTGTCTGCGATGTTGCATATGTTGTCTGTTCGTGACGTCGGGCCTCAGGGAAGGTATACTGACATTGGCGCTCGTCCCGGAGTCCTCGTCGCCACGGCTGCATTCTCCGCGTAGACGTCATCGCGGTTCCCGTGGACAGTGAAAAATCGCGGCGGGAGGTCTTTGGCCATTTCCGGACTGCTTCGCCAGGGCCCGAGGTTGTCAAGCAGCGGATCGGGACGAAGCGCCGATCCCGGGGAAGAGGTCAAGACCTCTCGGGAGGCATGTTGCGACAAAAGTCGCGAAGCTGGGTGTGTGGGTTGAGGGGAGACCAGAGGTCGAAGAAACGCAAGCATAGGTTGAGGCGCGTGGATTAGTGACGGGCCCCGTCTCCATACAAGATCGACGGGTTCCGTCTCCCTACAACATCCACTCGCTCCGTCGCCAATCGGTCTGGCGCCCACGCGCCCGATCCACTCGAGCTTGCCGGAGCTCGGATTGGCCGTCGTTTTCACGGTTTTGGCATGAATCTGGACGGTCCAGTTTCTGTGAGACCGTTGCAGCGGCAGGTCGCTTTATTAAAGTTCAGATTCGGTGCCGCATATTTTCCCATGGCCCTGTCGAATGTCTCCCCGGGGGTAAGGGCGACCCGTCGCCGAGGGACCTCTTGTGCGCGGCTTCCAGGGGGCGCGGGGGTGGGCTCACGGTCCGGAGCGTTCGCTTGGCGTGTCGCACAGCTGGCTCTGGCCCACTGTGCTTCGGCGCGACATGCTCAGCACGTCCTGGCTCCCAGGCGTGAGCGTCCCCAGCTTCTGCAGAGGATTTGCCACATTTGCGCAGATCAGCGGGGTCAGGGTGGGCTTTGCCACATGTTTGAAATTCGGTGGCACCCCTCACGCAGATCGGCGGGGTCAGGCTGCAAAAACAAGTGGGATTTGCCACATTTCTGAAATTCGGCGACCCTCGGGATCCCGCCCCGCGGAGCGGACCGACACACCATCCGCTTGCAGGGCGTGGCGTGTCGCCGGGGCCCGCCCGGGCCGCCGGGGCCGCCGACGCGATACGCGGAACAGGATATGCCGAGTCGACCCGGGTCTTGGGCCCCATCTCTCTGCTGCATCCTTCGAGCCGGAGTCGTGAGGCCCATGGGGCCCACAGCAGGGCAAAATACCGCCCGTTGCGTAGCACGTGCGGCGCCATCGGATCTCAGGGCTGGGCGCCCCCCGAAGTGCCTGCCGCGGGCACGCCCGCGCGGCGCGCCGCAGGTGGCGCCGGCGGGCCCGCTCGCGCCCCCGGAGGCGGTGCCCGTGGCCGCCGGGCGCTACCTGCGCCTGGCCTCGGTCGCCGGGAAGGGCGGCAAAGGGGCGCGGCAGGTGCGAGGCGAGCGTCGGCGCGGCGGCGGCGCCAGCGCCCGATGCCCAGACCTCCTGGCGCTGCGAAAAAATCACGACGGAAGGTGTTTCGCAGTTTTCGGCCTCCGGGGGGCCCTTCCCGGGCCTCGGGGCCGTCAACAGAACGACTCAGGATGAAGAACCGGTCTCGGGGAAGGGGTCCATGAGACCTCTGGGTGTCGACGTTGCGACAAAATCGCGACGTCGGGGGTCTGGGTACCAATACCACTGGTCCCCCTGGAAGCCGGGCGGGTGGTAGGGGTGGGGGGGCCCAAGTGGGGGGTGAAGAGCATAGGGCCCTGGAGGCGCTGTTCGGGGCCGCTTCTTGGAGCCCCTGGTGGCTCCAAAAGGGGCCCCATAAGGTGCCCCTCGAGGGGCCCTTTTCTTCACCCCCCAGTGGGGCCACCCCCCCACTACCACCCGCCCGAGAGGAGCCCTGGTCGCCACGGCTGGCGTCTCTCCGAAAGATCCCCGTCAGAACGGACCCCCCGATCGAGGGGCCCAGGGCGCCGGCAGCGCCGGACGAAAGGGGGGGATAGGGAAAGCGAGGGGGGTACGAAATCTGCTGCATGCAGCTGGTTTCGGCCCCGCCGCCGGTCCCATTCCTCTATAGACATGGGCGCCTCCCGGCGCCGGGAGGCGCCTACGTGAGCTGATTCTCGACCCCCCCTTTGCTATCCCCCCCTTTCGCCCGGCCCGATCTTTTCGGCGCGAAAAACATCACGACCGAGTGCTTTTACCGATGCTCGGCCTCCGGGGGCCCTCTCCGGGCCCGGGCCCGGGGCTGTGCCAAAAGTTCGGAATGAAGAACAGGTCCCGGCGGGTCGAGAATTGGATAGAAATGCGACGTCGGCTATCTGGGTGTAATGTTGAACGCGGCCAGCGCTTTGAGCTCGGCCAGTCTCAACGGTCTGCGTTATCGGGTAGCGACGATCGTTCTGAAGTTCTGGGTTGAACGGTCCAGGCGATGTCTGAAGCCATTGCGCAGGATGGCACGACGCGAACCTGCCATACGGAGAGAGTGATGACGAGAACCGACACCACTTCCTGTCCTTTCCCGGATGTTCGACGATAAATGTGAAATGTGTTAATCTTTGAGACCATCAGGAATAAGGTCCAGGACGAAAGGTACCCTCTCGGAATGGGTTGGAAGCCCTGGAGCCGAGCATTGAAAAGAACACATCGTTGCCGCACGCCTGGGTTCTGAACAGGACTCGTTGCCGGTGCCGCCCGCGGACGCTGCCTGCCTGAGACAGAGACGCGCTGCCTGCCCAACCGCGGCCGCTGCCAGTCTTTGACAGCGTCTGCTGCTGGGCATCGGAGGACGACCCCGCCACCACAGGGGGGGCCATCTCCAGCGAGGGGTTCCACGATCCACGATGCCTCCCCGAGCTGGGGAGGGAGGATGTCCGAACCCGACGCCGTACACGACGCCGAACCCGACGCCGTACCCGACGCCGAAGCCGACGGCGAACCCGACGCCAAACCCGACCCCGTACCCGACGCCGAACCCGACGCCGAACCCGACGCCATACCCGACGCCGAGGTCTCGAGCAAGGGGGCGCCAGTGTGAGGACCCTCCCTGGCGTCTCGCGCTGGTGGCGACGTCGCCTTCCCTCGCTCCTGCACCCCGGAACTCCTCCGCCGTATCTGGGCCCCTGAACTCCTGGAGCCGCTCCGTCTGTGTCACGGCCCTGGGGCACCTCCGGGCCCGGGAGGCCGAGAGCACGTGCAGGTCTTGCCGGTCGTGGCTTCTCACGACGCGAGGAGGCGGGGGATCGTGCCCAGTGTTTGTCAGGAGGGAAAGAAAGCACACAGACACCATGAATCGTCGATCCCCCGGAAAGTATGGGGAAATATGGTAAGTGAGGGGGGAAGACAAAAACCCAGGAAATGTGGGGAAACATGGGGGAATCCTTTGCTTTGTGTGTATTTATCTGTGTGTCCCAGGGCCCCTTCAGTCTGTTTGCGCCCTATGCCTCCGCGAGCTTGGGCAGAGGTCGAGCGCGGCCTCCTGTACCTCCGGGAGGCCAGCGGCGCCGGCGAGGGCCACGGCGCCAGCCTCTTTCTCTTCTCGGGGGGGCGGCTGGCCGAGACAGCGGCGGGCTTGAGGCAGTGGCGACCCCTCGTGCTGCGCGCGCAACAAGCAGACGACGGCCACCTACCCCTCGTGCTGCGTGCGCAACAAGCAGACGACGGCCCCCTGGGGGAGAGCGGCGTGCCCTGTACCGATGCCACCCCCTTTTTTTCCAGGCTCGAGCATTTGGACGCCCGAAATGGGTACGGAAAGAATGGGCACAGTGCCCAGCAGCAGCTCCTGTTCCTTTTGGACAGGATTCGCTGTCCACTTCGCCGCGGCCTGTGTCCATTCGAGGCAGAGGGCCGCCCGCCCAACGGCGGCCGCTGTTGGTTTGGGACAACATTTGTTGTTTGGGCATTGTGCCCGTTCTTTCCGTACCCATCTCGGGTGTCCAAATTGTCTGCCTATACATCCCCAGGACGGAAGTTTTTCTTCTTGGGCCCGGAGCGAAGGTTTGAAGTCTTGAGCAGACGCGTCTGAGAGACCCGCAGTCGGATCCAGTGAAGCTCGCGCGGATCCAATTTTGGTTTTGGTTTGTGCTTCGGTGGATCCGATTTCTGTCTGCGCGGTTCCGATTTCGGATTTTCCCGGATCCGCGTCCGACCTTAGTTTTTACGGCGGGTCCGTTTTGCACTTTCTTTAAATTTATCTTATCTAATTAAAACAGGGGGTCAGAAGAAATCGGACCCGCGGACCCCGCAAACCGCCCGTGTTACGATTCTACGGGGGCGGGGGGTTCGGTAAGCAATTTTTCACGATGGGCCCTGCGTCGTCTCGCGCACTCCCATCAACTCCCCGAGCGAGCGGGCCCCATTCAACATGAATACATCCCTCTCCCCCCGGTTGCTGTAACAGCTCGTCCGATCGCCGTCCGTTCGGCGGCGCCGACGTTGTCTCGCGAACTCTTCATGGCCATTTTCACCTCAAGAGGAACATCTTTCGTCCTGCGTAAGTAACCACAACCAGTTCGAAGAACATGTTGTGGCTTGCCCGAAATGTTCCAACGTTTCTGGTTGAGGCAGTTCTTGTTGTATCAATCGGTTTCATGTTCTACGCTCGTCGTTGTTGATGTTGTTGTTGTTCTTGCTGCTGCTGTTGTTGTTGTTGTCGTCGTTGTCGTCGTCGTTGTCGTCGTCGTCCTCGTCGTCGTCGTCGTCGTGATCGTCGTCGTCGTTGTTGTTATTGTTGTTGTTGGAATACTCATATTTTAAGAATACTTATTGTTGATCTCCGGAAATAGTTCCGCGCGCTCTCGCTTCGACGCTGGCGAATTTTCTCTGAAAACGAGGCTCCCGCTCGAGCGCTGGTTTAGCCCAAATGTGGGCCCTTGGAGGCCCAGCTACGACAACAACGGCTCCCGCTCGATACTTCCTCACAATTTACCCCGAGACACCCTGGCCAGAGAGGCCCCCGAACTCAGGAACGGCTCTCTCGCTCGAGACTTCCTCGTAATTCAACTAAGTTGGCGGAGGCCCAGCCACGACGACAAGGGCTCCTTCTCGATACTTCCTCACGATTTACTCCGAGAGCCCCTGGCCAATAAGGCCCCCAAACTCGAGGATGGGGGGAAACGATTAAAAAAAACTTTTGGGGCGGACGATTAAAAAATTGTTTCGCGGGCCTCCTCGCCCCCGCAATAGCGGGGGGGCAGGGCAGGCAGACGGGGGGCTGACAATTCCAGGTTGCCTGGAAGGCCAGGAGGAAGAGGAGGAGGAGGAGGAGGAGGAAGAGGAGGAGGAGGAGGAGGAGGAGGAGGGGTCCAGCACAGGCCCGAACAAAACGAGTCTTGAGGCCCCGCGGCTTCGGTCCTGGTGGTTCGTGCTGGCCGTTATCCTATCCTCCTCTTTCTCTTTCTCCTCCTCTTCCTCCTCCTCCTCCTCCTTCTCCTCCTCCTCCTCTTCGTTCTCCTCCTCCTCTTCCTCCTCGTCCTCCTCCTCGTCCTCCTCCTTCTCCTCCTCCTTCTTCTCTTCCTCCTCCTCCCCCCTCCTCCTCTTCCTCCTCCTCCTCCTCATCATCCTCCACCTCCCAATCGCCGCGGCCGTCCGCAAGGACGACCGGCGGCCGTCCGCAAGGACGAGGGTGATCAAGCGCCTCTTCGAAAACCCCTTCCCTCAACTACTCCCTAATTACCCCGTCCCCCCTCCGCAATCCTCCCCCCGCGGCCGCGGGTGATCAAGCGAGCGAAGGAGGACGAAAAGAAAATCAGTTCCCCCAAAGGGGCAAAAGCAAACGCCGGGGGGCGGACGATTAAAAAACAGTTTCCGGCGGCTGAATTCTATTAGTCCGCCCCGCCCAATCATTTTGGGGGGTCCGGGGGGGGGGGGAGGCGATTTTTAATTCAGGCAAGTTGGTGGAGGCCCAGACGCGGCGACACGGGCTCCCGTTCGATATGTCTCCATAGGTATTCCGATATCCCTCACAAGACACGCGTGCCAGTAAGAGCGAACAGTCTTAACATGATTGTTGTTGTTGATGATGTTGTTGTTGATGTTGTTGTTGTTGTTGAATATTATTACTTCTAAAGAATAATTATTGTTGGGCCCCCTGGTGCACGCCCCCCCCGCCGCGCCTAGGCCGCAGCCACGTTTTCATCATTTTCGTGAGGAAGCCTCAGGTAAAACGATGTGATCCAGATCCGGTTGTTTTGTTGTAATCCGTTTTCCCTTGCAAAAAACACTATAAAATGACATTTCTTGTTCTAATATAATCAAATTTCAAGAATCCCTTGCAAAAAATAAGGTAAAGTGGACATTCGCGCGCGCAAGACGAAATCCTTCCAAAAGCTTAGTGTTCGGAGCGATTTTAACATAAAAACATCAAAAAACCAATGGTTTTTCAACAAAAAAATGTCAAAATCTCATCCCGCGCGCTCTTGCGGATTCGTAGGAAACCCAACACTTTTTAAACATTTCTGTCAAACGGGCTTTTGCGAGCAACTTTTTCGAACTTCTGCGACAACGGTTGCGCACCTGCCAGGGCCATCATCCCTGTCAAATAATACCATGCGGGACACATTCGTTTTTTCTTCGCGCGCGCACGCCGAAATCTCCAAAAACCATTGGGTTTCTTAAGAATTTTAGCACCGCGCATCATAAAATCACACGAATCGCACCGTAGGTCCTCGAAAAACACCTGCACGACTTTTCAAAATTTCCACCCGCGCGCGCTGTCCGAATCCTAAAAAAACCAATGGTTTTCCAACATTTATGTTACATGAGCTCGCGCGAGCTACTTTCGCACGCTCTTGCAACGGGGTTCGCGCGCCTGCCAGGGGCCATAATCCCTTGCGGTTGCGCCATAGGTTGCGCCCTCGGCCGCCGAGAATAAAACGCCCCCCTATTGGTTGCGCCATAGGTTGCGCCCTCGGCCGCCGAGAATAAAACGTCCCCCTACTGGTTGCGCCATAGGTTGCCCCAGGAGGCCTTCAAGAGGCCCCAAGAGCCCGCCGTGAGGACCCAATAAGCCCCCAAGAGGCCCCAAGATGCTTCCAAGAAGCCCCCCAAAGCCCCTCAAGAGGACCCCAAGCGGCGCCAGGAGGCTTCCCCCCTTCCCCAAGAGGACCCCAAGCGGCCCCAGGAAGCCTCCGACTGATCACTGTCACATCCGTAGCCATCTCGGATCAAGGTATCGCCTGTGTTCTTGGATGGGTCATGGCTTTGTCGGCGAAAGCCCTTGACGACCAGTATGGCCCAGAGCTGTCGCGGCCTCCCTTGGCCGACTGCGAGAGCCCGTATTATTTGCATCAGGCGCTCGTTGCAAAGGGTATCCAGGTCAGTCACCAGGCGTGCAAGACTTGGTGGGGCAAATATCGGGTTGTGCCTGGCAAGGTTAGTATTTCTAGCGCCCAGGAGCTGGAGGAGCAGCACGGTTCTGCCATCCGCCACCTGGGCATCGAGTATAATACACCTTTCAAATTATGCGGGGCGCTCCGACAGTTGGATCCACCACTGTATGTGACAGATCAGGTCGCAAAGATGTGGCTACTGCAGTATTCTTCCAAAGAGACGCTTGTCAAAGTGCAGAACGCTGGCCATCTGGAGACCTGGTATGGAGAACGTATTCGCAAAGACATGCCCGAGGGGACTACTGACGGGGCCGTGTTGAAGCAGTGGCTCCTGGGACATTTATCTGTATCTGCTGACGCCAGGGTATGCCAGAAGTGGCTCAGCACGGAGTGGGGCGCCAAGGGAGCATTGAATACTGCCCAAGCTGTGGAGGAATGTATAGGCCAGCGTCTTCGACTCAATCAGTATCGGGAGAGCTTCGCCGATGAGGCCGCCGCGGAGGTCCTCTCGCAGCTTCTCTCGGAGAGCGACCCTCCCGTCGCTGTCAGCGGTATGGTTTTGAGGCAATGGTACGTGAAGTATCACCCTGACTCTGGACCTTTGCAGTATGACACGGCTGAAAAGCTCGACGCGGCACTTGGTGACCACATGCGCGCGGTATATCCAGGGCTGAAGTACCACACCTTGCATACCGCGTTGCGTATGCGACGGAAAGCTGTCTTGGTGTCCCGAGGAGTGTTGAGACAGTGGTGCGATGCGTATGCGTCGGTGAGCTCTTCAGTGCAGGCGACGGCTTCATCCGCCCAGGCCGTCACCAGGCGTGTATTGAAGCGCCCGGCGGCGCAGGTCGCAGGCGGGGTATTGAAACGGCCAGCCGCCGCCGGATCTGCCCGCGTGGCCAAACGGCCTGCCGCGGTCGACTGGGGGGAGCCCGTATCGAAGCAGCAGGCCACGGCAGCTTCTTCCTCCACAGAAGTGGTTTGTATAAAGCTGCTGACGGGGGATGCTGTAGAGGCGGCATGCGGCAAGCGGTATCGAGAGCAGGTCTCCGACTTGGGCCTTGGCCTCACTTACCAGAATATGCAGGTGCGTCTGAAGGCCTGGGGGTATGAGGCGGGTCCATATGCCTTGCGAGAGTGGCTTTGCAAGTATCGACTCGGAGACGGTGCCAAACATGGCAATTGCGCCGTCTACGCGTTGTCGCGCAGGGACCTCCAGTA